GCGTCAGACGCACCGTTGAATCGTCATTCTCCGGACGACCGGAGAGAGCAATCGTGAATCCGTGACCTTTCGGATCGCAGCGCGGCGCGGCGGATCGCCCGTGATAACAGCCCGGCCGAAGTCACCGCAGATTTCTGATTCCTCGCAGAAGTCCGCAGGATCGCCAATTCCAGGTGGTTCACTTCTCACTTTCGCCGATCGCTCTTGTTTGCTCGGGAAACTCGTTAACTCCTGGTTAATCCGTCCGTCGATTACTCAACTATTTTACTACTATTGCCGCGCGTCGTAATTTCTCTTGCTATCGTTAAGCGTTCTATACCATTCTGCACCACCACGAACTCATACACGCATCTTCATATTGGGCTCAGGGTCGCGGCCTCGTCTCACCTCACCTCGCCTCACCTCACCTCGCGATTCGCGTCAGCCAACAACAGCAGCAGCAGCAGCAACCGCGGAGAACATAATTTCTATTCGTCGCGTCGTCGTCGTTGCGCCTAGTCGCTCTGTCGCTTCTCGCGATACGCCTTCATGACGCACGAGCTAACCGTAGGTCATAATGTCAGCGGCACACTCGCGACGCGCCGCTGCGATGACACTATATGCATCCGATGAAATCCGCTTCGTAGGCAGGGGATGACGAATGACAGGAAACGGATTAGGTGACCAGATGACAGCGGATGACAGCGCTGAGCGCGCCGTAAAGTGACGCGACGTCGGCTGATCTGACGTCATCGCCAACTGACCAATGTCGCCAACTGTCGCCAACTAGCGCCGCGTCATATGCGCTTTCTATCTGCGCATGAGCAATGATCATGATATGGAAAAAAAAAACTGTTCACAGTATTCGTCGCACATTTTTTTTGCTTGATTTTAATTTACTCTGATGTAATCAATAATTTGATCGAAGAGTGTTATAACGATTAAACTAAATGAGCTGCGGTCTTGATTGTGGACTGATTTTAGCTAAGAATAGAAAGAAGGAAAATCAAGAAAATCCTAATAATCTTAATTTCCTCATTGTGAATTAATTATCAAGAATAAAATGAGATATTAAAAAATGTGTAATATATGTATATTATGCTTTATTTGTTATAAAAAATAATTAGATTAGCATTACGAATATACAAGAGAGAGAGAGAGAGAGAGACTACAAATGCCAAGAATATATTTATGAATATCCTGTGTGTGCAACTTCATGGTGTACATCGCTGTGCATGCGTAGAAAAATCCCGCTTTGTAATTGCCATTTGTTTTCATTTGTTTAAGTCACAATTGCGTTAATTATAATTTTATTTAATTTTTCGAGTAAGTTGATCGAAAAATGTCTTACTCTGAACGACACAAGACTGTTTTGCAAGCTGTTATACATGAAGGTGCTTTACATGAGGATCGTGGAAAAGAATTAGTTATTAGGTTATTTGGTACGACAAGTTGATAATCCATTTTTTTTGTGTACAGTGTACAAAAAATACAATAAGAAAAATCAAATATCAAATTATCGATAAATTTCAGATCATAATAATACAGCACAAATATTAAGTGAAATAAATGCAAAATTACAACCATTATGCACGACCATAAAACGTATAAATTGCGAAGTTACTGGAGAGTTATATTGGATTTTTATGAGCACTGTACAAGACAAAACTGCTAGGTAACATCTATTTAAGTATTATTAACTTAATGTATTACTTTTACGAATTTTACAGTTATGTTTATTTTTCAGTTTTGTTTCTCATTTCTCACAAGCAGAATTAGCTCTCTTGCGAAATATTTATTCGGAAATTATTACTTCTAACAATAGCTGTGTATCGAGTACATTTTGCCTTAATTTATGTTCATCACTAAATGCAAAACTGACTAAAACTGATGCCGAATTATTTCTACTTGAAATGGTCGATAGACAATGGTTATGCTGCAAGGTAAATTTTTATATTATATAATTCTGATAGTATGTCTCTTAAGGTAAATATTATGGTAAAGGTAAATATTATGAAGATATTATGTATCTTTCAGGATGGTAAATATTATATGGGAGTAAGAAGCATAGCAGAATTAATGCAATATTTCAAAGATACTTATGAAGGGAATCTTCAAATTTGTACTTTATGCAAGCAGGAACTTTTTTATGTAATATTTTTTTGGGAATATTGAATGCGTGTATCTTTTACAACGATGATAGGTTTTATCATTTTGCAGGGTGACAAATGTAACAAATGTGATGCTAGTACACATGTTTATTGCCTCAAGAATTATGCAAGAAATCATAGTAGTTTGGGATGTCCTAATTGTCTTTTTTCTACGTCAAGACAAAATCTTTCTAGTAACTTTTCATCTTGTTTTTATTTTTTTATTATGTTTAACAATTTAACTATCGGTTATTGATATATTTATTATATCAATTTTCTTGTATACATATTCAAATTATTTCTTAATATTCAAGTACTGATTTTTTTGAAATATTACGAAAAATATTATTTATAGGTAATAACACTAGTTGTGCCATGGATGTTGAAAATGCCTCACAGACAAGTGTGGAAATACATGAGATAGCACAGTCTAGTCAAACCAGAAAATTGAAACGAAAACAGAATGAATTGATGTAAGATATTTTGTTTAATCAGTTACACAAAACTGTTTGGAAGAGACGAATGCCGCAAACTAAAGATTATATTAATTTTTATTTATATAAAATTAAATTATTATCTATATACAGTAAAATTACATTCAATATAATATTAACAAACAATACTTTATTATGCCCATTTACTATGACTTGCTTCGAATTTTTTTCTTAAATATTTGAGACCTGCCATAATATTATCTTCGTTTATACTTCGTGATAATGATTCTTGTTTGTTCGTATGAGTCACACTGTTGGAAGCTGAAGGTAAAATGTTATTTTCACCAGGAAGAGGGATATCCATAGTTGTTTGTTGTTCAGACATGTATATCTCAGAGTACCCACATACATTTTGTGAATAATTGCTGGATAGATAAGATAACGGATATGAAACTGTTGCTTGTCTCTGAGATAAGTTAGGTAAAGCCATGGTAGGAGTTAATGTCGCTCCTATTGTATTTTCAAATGATTCAGGAGAGTTATCAGTTGCATTATATTCTGGTAAATCGTTTTTATTATTCTGGCTATTGTTATCAATATCTTTCACAATTGAGACTGTTTCATTATCGACAGACTCATTACTACCTTCATAATTCTGTAAATTGTCATTAGATTCTTCAATGGATTCCTGGGAATCACAAGTCTCTGTGTTATCCAGTTCTTTATTTTCTTTATGGGTTAAATGTTCATCGATGCTTTGAGAACTGTTGTAAAATCCAGTACTTTTAAAGTTATCATAAACTGGCCCAAATTCACTAATTCTTTGCGCTCTACATTTATCCACCCATTCTTCTTGTGACATTATATGCCAGTGATTCTTCTTTCTTAAAAGTTCTCCAAAAGCTTTTATCTTATCTTCATCATTAGTCTTCTCTTCTTGGGTAGATTCATTGATACTTGTAGATGCATCATTAACTTTCTCCTTAGAATTTTCTTTCTCAGCAGACTCAACTTTGTTAGTGTTAATATCGTTATTTGAATTAATTAACTTATTTTCTTGAGCCAATTCCTCTTCTGTAGGTTCTGCTGGTAAGCCTGCTCTGATACGTTGTCTAATTCTTGCCGCCTTTAGTCTATTCTGTTCCAATTTCTCCTTCAATTCCTTCCTTTCTTTCATTTCCCTCTGCTTTCTCTCTGTTTCCTTTCTTAAGTTTGCCAGGTTTTCTTGCTGCTTTGTTCTCTTCTCTTCATCTTGCGAAAATGCATAGTAACCAACACCATGTGTTCGTGCTTCATCAAATAATATATCTTGATAATGTATGTCCACCTTATCCACAAGCTTTTGCGTTTGCTCCTCCCATTTTCTTCTCATGATTTCTATCTCAGGTTCTTTCTCTTGAACAGGATATTGTTCTTTAGCCTCTTCTTCTTTGTCTTCATCAATATGTTTCTTCATTATTTCATGCTTTATCAATTCATCTTTCTTTTGCATGTGTGGCAAATCCTCCCGCAAACATTTCCTTGTACGACCAAAACAATCCTGATACTCTACCCAATTTTCCTCTGACTCTATGGGATGTTCTTTATCAATCGTTTCATCCACAAATTCTTCATTGGATTCATCTAATTTATTCTCAAAATCAACAAGAAATTTATCATTATTATTTTTGGATTTCTTCAATCTTTCGTATAATCTCGCTTTGGCTTCCAGCATTAATTTTGACTTTTTGTGAGCGATGATATCCTCCGGATCCATAGATTTCTTAGCATTTTTTTCCATATTATCTGCAACAATCTTCTTGTTCTTTTTCTTATTCGACAGTGGTTGTGTATTAATAGACTCGGTTTTCAACTTAACCTCATTTACTTCAGCTTGTTTTCTTAACAGTTCTGCCTTTAGACCCACTAGGGATGAATAATTGACGTTTATCTTCTTTGTCATATTCATTGTTGCTTTATCAACTTGCAATACTATCTAAATATCTTGTTATTGTTCTTTATAAAAAAAGTTCTTTATAAAAAAACCAGAAATTGTTTATAAAAAACTTTGAACATGTGCCGATATAATTCACGTTTTTCTACCTGAAAAACAATATTATTTAATAAACAAATTTACTGAGGACGACATATATTTGTATGTTTGACAATACTTACATGAATTATTAGCGTCAATTATTTGACAGAAAGCCTAAGGCAGATGCTTTATGTACGATTATACAAATTACAAAAATAAATTTCATAATATTTCACAAACAGAAAATTGGAATGTTCATAACAAGATTTTTACGATTCTTCTTTTTGGAGATGACAGATGATTGCGGAATTAGGTTAGGTCACAGAATATATAAAACTTACTAGAGAGTGAATAGATCTGTTTTTTACTCTCACCAGTGCAATAAATTAAAGTAAAACAAACGTATATTTGTTGTGTACTAGAAACTCAGAAAGTACAGCAATAAAAAACGAATCTAATGATAGACAGATTTTCCAAAGAAAATCAAGGGAGAATGGAGTGGATTCTCTTCTCTGATTGGTTTCGCCATTTATCCGTTCATTTCTGCCAATGTGAATGTGTGCATGTATGTATGTACATACAACACTAGTGTGTGCAGCACCGTGGCTGGTCAAAGTCTCGCCACAAATGCTTTGAAGCATTTGATGCGTTAATTAGAAGAAAGAATTTTGCAAATTGATCAGTTAAAAAACGCTTCAAAGTATTTGCAGCATCGCTTGATTGTACCCTATGAATAGGCAATAGTAATCGACTCCCTGTTCTCTGTTCCTTGTTTCTTTTATTGTGCGGAGTCCCTTAATTAGAGCTTAATGAAAGCACAGTATAATCAGTAGGGACATTCCGTGTCGGCACCTTTGATCTCCGCATCGCAATCACGTGAGCCATGTTAACGTTTGAAAAATCCAGGACTGAAAGAGGATATAATGCCCCTTAAGTAATAATGTAATCCCACACTAAAAAATTTTACAAAAATTTTACTAACTAATGAACAAAATTAATTCGAAAATAGTAAGAACTAGTAGATAAATCAAATTTATTAAGTAATTATTATTAAATAATAATTATGAAACAAACATTTTTATTTAGTTTTTTTTCGTAAAAAAAAATATCAAAAATATAATATAAATTTTACTTACATAAATATAGATATAAAATAAAAAAAAATATTATATTTGTGGTTTTACCTAATTAAACATAATTATAAAAGTATATTAATAAATAATTATGTATACTGTATATTGTATATTGTATTATGTATATTTTTTAGAAATTTATGGCACAGCTCTTAAATTGTCTTCTTTTGCCACGTATATCTACTCAAACGGGATCTGTGTAATATGTACGTTTTTGCATCTTGCATTTCATTGGATTCGGTCCAAAATAAAAGCTACGCAACCATATCTGCGCAACATTTTTTCACTGAGTGTCTTTACTGATTATACTGTGGTGAAAGTGGCTCTTAGAGCCGATTGTTCCACCTTTTGGTAAATTTTGCTTTAACCTATTTAGTAAGTAGCAAGATTACCCAATCACATGCATGGATTTACCTCACAGATAAAATTTATTCCAAAAGATGGAACAATCGGCCCTTAAGCATCATGAACAGACTCACATATCTGGGTATAATTTCTGAACGAACTCCAGTATGGTAATCCTATGCGCGACAAAACGTGGAGAAGCCATTTTACTTCGGCGCGCGTCAAAACTTTTGAAAGTCACGTGATGCGTTTGAAAGTCATAATAGTCATATGTCGAAGACATTTATAAATCTTTCTTTCTTGCATCCATTGAGAAATCTCGCGACATTCTCGAATTTAGTTTTCCGAGTTTGAATTTCTAGAAAATCGTATATCGTATCATTACAGAAAATCAGCGCCTGATTTTCAAGCTGAAAAATTCCCAGCCGAAATTAAAGTTGCTAGAAAAACGTGGAAGGGGCGGGGTGAAGCGAAGAAGCAAGGAAGGAATTCAGGAAGAATTAAGAGGCCCATCTCTTATAAAGAAATCTTATATTGAAATGTACTGACAGTACTAAAAAAATCTATAGCATTTAGAAGCAATACTGAAAACCTACATCATAAATAACACCAATTATTTAAGTTTTTGATATATACTTTTAGAATGCACCATTGAAGTGCTGAAACGAAACGTCCAATAGAAGAATAGTAAGAAGAGGAGGAAGTCCTCGTGATCATTGCGACTCGACAGTTATTGGCGACGGTTATCAATTCGGAAGATCGATTCTCGATTGCTCGTGCAGCATCTAGAGCGCAGTTGCGCCGTTCGTTTTGGTTTGTGGTTCGTTGTCGACGTAGCGCGGTACCCTGGGAGAGAAGTAATATTCGTGATAGTGCTAAGCCGACTGGATCGGTGATTTCCGCAAGAAGTAGAGTGAGAAAAGTTCTTGTCGCTCCTCGTTATTCCTCGTGGCCAATTCCATCTTAGCCATCGTTCGATTAGCCTTCATAATTATTTTAGAACAACGACGGTGGTAGTGCACGCGGTCTCTCGTGGTCCAGCGAGAGCGGCTACAGCGACATCATCAAGAACAAGCCGGCGAATCAGTTGGAGCTAAATCTGCTAAATGGCACGGCGCAGGCAAGCGAAGCAGGCGGCAGCAGAAAGTGTCGTGGCTGCCGCTGATGGCAGTGTGACTCCACCGAAGAAGAGGAAAACAGCTGTAAAATCAGTGACTGCGGACGAACCAAAGCAGACTAAGAATAGAAGCCGGCAAGCAAAGACGACTAAGCAGGACAACGAAGTGGCTAGCGAGCCGGCGAGTTCGCCAAAGAAGTCACGCAGTAGACAGAGAAATGCCGCCGATACTATTACCGCCACGACTATCGCGAAAACCGGTATGAAAAGCAAATCTAAGAAACAAATCGACAAGGAATCTGAAGAAACGACGATAGAAAGCAACAATGAGAAAGTGGTTGAGAAAAAAACTCGCAGTGGCAAGGCTACAGCAGTGGTGAAAAAGGCGGGAAAAAAGGTGACTGAGACAAAATCAAAGGCTAAGATCCCAATTGTCAGGAAACAAACTAGAATCAAGGATGTAGAAAACAGCCCTGTTCAGAGGTCTCGTCGCGCGAAAATAGTTGAAGAAAATGATGCGCCAGCACAGCCCATTGTAAAGGCATCTAGGAAACGTAAAAATGTGGAGGATGCAAATGAAGCTATTGCAGAGATACA